GGACCCAGGACAGAGGTGGAGGAGTACACGTTTGCAGGAGCAGAAGAGTGGAAAGTGTCCGAGAATCTGGGGGACTCTACTCTCCCCTGGGCTCTCTAAAATGAGCTAGTTAAGTACAGGGATGGTGTTAACTCGTTAGTGAGGTCATGAGTCTCAGAGAGATCAAGGGATAGTCCTAATGTACGCTGAAAGTGACGACAGGAGCTGGACCCTGATCCACGTGTGGACACCTGCCCAGGGCTCTCTCCTTTTTTTAAAAAAAAAAATTAAAGAGAGGTTTTTGCTACAGGGCATGTCTCTCACCAGAAAGGCAGAGAAGCAGAGAGACAGAAAGTGAGAAATCACTCCCCAGGGGAGATGGCCACACCACAATCCCTTCTCCATTCTCCTCTTGGTATCTTGGGCACGCACGCACATATGCCCCGCTTGAGTTTAAGTTGCTCAGTCCAGGATTCGAACCCCTGTTGACTACATGGGAGTCCAGTGACATAACCATTATGCATCTGCTGGTCCCTAGGACTCTCTCCTTTACATTTTTGTCACATGCTCTTTTTGCAGGAACTGAGTGGGTCTTCCATGGTCCCTATCATGACCACAGTGCAGCCTAAAACAGACCCTCCTACATTCAACAGGACCAACAAATTCACTGCTGGCTTCCAGAACATTGTCGATGCCTATGGCGTAGGCAGCTACCGGGAGATAAACCCAGGTAAAGGATCGGATGTGGTGAATAGCTGGGCAGCTTGGAGGTGAAAATTGGTAAGATGTCCTCTAAAGGGACCTCAGATAGGGATATATTAACTATGGCATTTGTAAAAGCTTCCTTGGTTTCCTCATGCCCTGAGTGGTCTTGCACACACACTGCTGAGGGGCGGATTTGGTCCGTCTTCACCTGTTCTTTAAACCATAGCCTTCTCAGATGACCCAGTTCAGATCTTGTTTCTGTCACTGGCTCAACAAGGGTCATTTCTATGTGTCTTCACCGTCTTGTAGTGATTGGGTGGGAGAGAGAGGAGCACACAGAAGTTGAGGTCAGAAGACTGGATTCCCAGGGTCCTAGGCTGTGGGAGCTTGGAAGTCTGGTTAATAAAATAAAGAGGAGACTGGATGTTAGCCAAGTCGTGCCTGATGCTGTTCTGTGGCCCAACTCCCCGTCTAACGGATGCAGTGACATCATGATTTCAGGGTCCTGTGAATGACTGCTGCTGGTGTGTGTGTGTGTGTGTGTGTGTGTGTGTGAATGGTGGAGAAACAGGCAGAAGATGCTGGTGGGGTGAGTATCGAAAGCACTCAGAAAACTGGTTTGAAATCCCATTTGTGATCTTGGGCAAGTCTCTTATCCTCTAAGACTCAGCATTTATAAAGTGGGAAATCAGAATGTTTTCTGAAGGATGAGCTCATGAATGTGAGAGCCAAGCAATGTTGGGGGTGAGGGGAGACGGTCAGAGAAACAAGGCCTGCATGTAGAGCGCAGAGCGACTGACAGGAAAATCTCTGGTGTTGGAGTGGGAGGGAGGCCCGAAGGCTGTTCGGAGGCCTCAGCCTTGCGGGTCTCCCCTCCACAGCTCCCTATACCATCATCACTTTCCCCTTCCTGTTCGCTGTGATGTTTGGTGACTGTGGTCATGGAATCGTCATGTTCCTGGCAGCCCTGTGGATGGTTCTTAACGAGAAAAACTTGCTTGCCCAGAAGTCAACCAATGAGGTGAGTGTCCATCAAATGGCTCACCTCCTTTCTCTGAGGTAGAGTATTAAACGGTGCACGTGGTTTTCACTGTCGGAATAACAAGTTTTTATGAAAAATAAGAAAAAGATGAAAAGTTTAAAAAAAAAAGCTAAAATTCAGCATAAAATTCCTGGCCAAGGGTAATTCCTTTAAATGGTTTCGTGCAGTCCCTGTTGGCATTTATGTTTTCCATCCATGGGTTGACAAGGCATTGATTTTTTTTTTTCTGTAATTTTTTTTTCTGACATTGATTTTTTCTCATTATAAAAGCAATAAATATTCATTATAAAAATTAGACCAATACAGCAATTTAACCACCTAGAGAAAAAGAAAATCACAATTGAGACCAGCAGATGCGTAATAGTTACGTTGCTGAACTCCCACGTGGGCAGCTGTGGTTCGAGTCTTGGATCTGGCATCTTGAAACTCAGGCCAAGCATGTCTGCCCAAACTCCTGAGAGGAGAGTGGAGGAGGAGAAGGGATTGTGGTGTGGCCATCCCCTCTGGGGAGTAATTTCTCACTTTTTGTTTCTCTGTCTCTCTCTCTGGTGAGTGCAAGTGCCCTATAGCAAAAATCTCTCTCTCTAGAAATAAGTCATGGAACCAACAGGTGGTGTGGTGGTTAAAGGCACTAGATTCCCCCATGGCCAACTGCAGTTCAAGTCCCGGACCTGGTGGCTTGCTTTCTCACTTTCTCTCTCTCTGTCCCTCTCTGATCAAATTAAAATAAATAAAGTTAAATAAAATAATTCTTTTAAAAAAAGGTTAACGTTTTTGGATATCTTTTCTGCTTTTTTGTGCTTACATGCAAATATACAATTTTCAAAAATAGTCATCAAATAGTGAATATAATTTGTCTCCTTTTTTTTCTTTCCTTAAAATATTGTAACTATTTGTTCATGGCCCACCCCTTTTCCTGCAAATCTGTGATGGGTTTTTTGTTTGTTTGTTTGTTTTTTGATATAGGGCGCGTGCGCTCACCAAACAGAGAGAGACAGAGACAGAAAGCGAGAAATCACCCCCCAGGGAGGATGGCCATGCGGCAATCCCTTCTCCATTCTCCTCTCGGGATCTTGGGCACGCATGCACACGCGCCTGGCGTGAGTTTTAAGCCACCGGGTCCGGGATGTGAACCGCGGTCGACTACGTGGGAGTCCAGCAACATAGCCATTATGCTAACTGCTGGTCCCTGTGATGGGTTCTTGTGAAGCACTAGGAATGTTTTGTCCCCCTCTTCCACTAGAAGTTTCTGCACTTTCCACAGGTTCCTGTCAGAATGGTGTGCAGTTTGAGACAACTCAAGAGTCTGCACTGGTTCAAAGTTAATCCATTAATTAAAGCTAATCACGTTTATGTTCATGACAACACATTTTATAAAGTGGAAACATGTCTTTTCTATGTTCTGAATTTTAAAACTATCTGCAATCTTTCAGTACGGGTCAAATTAGTGCTAGTTCGGGGATGTCATGGTGAGTTAATCATAAGCTAGGTTAGCGGGTCATATCAACCTGGGACCAAGGTGGCTTTCCATGACAAGCTTAACAGATGTGATTTTCTGTGTAAACACTCAAAGTCTCAAAACTGTACGTCAGCAGTTCTTGAAATGTGTGATACACACCAGTCAGTGTTATGGGAAAACACTTTATTCTCCTTAGCGGATGTTTGGGTTTTCAGAAAAGTCATGATGCATTTTGGTGTAGAAAAACAGAAAAATACGTCAGGAATTTTCCGACAAACCAATAGTTAGACAGAGACTCAACTTTGTAACGACAAGACCCAAAATGAGTGTGGAGTTGACTTGCCATAAATGTAGCAGCCCGACGAGGCCTGCTCAGTGCTTGTCAGAAGTCCACTTTCTGGTCCCTTCCTCGCTAGGGGAGACTGCAGCTTGTACTTCAGCTTGTTTTCTACCAAGGCTGAATGAAAGAATATAGTCTTGTTTTTATTTCCACAGTAAATACTGGTCTAGAACTTCTCTGATTCACCTTTGAAGCTCAGGGAAATCATGATGTGTTTGCTCTTCTTTTTTGGATTACTGACGTCTGTCTTGGTCTCGTAGGTGCTCATGATAGTGATGCCGGAGCCATCCTATGACACACTTCCCTCTGAGGCAGGTTCAGAACCCACTCACACCTGTTCTCCTCTCTGTCTCCCTGAGGCTAGATTTGGAACACCTTCTTCCATGGACGCTACCTGATCCTACTTATGGGTATCTTCTCCATCTACACGGGCTTGATCTACAATGACTGCTTCTCCAAGTCTCTCAACATCTTTGGCTCTTCGTGGAGTGTCCAACCCATGTTCAGAAATGGCACATGGAAGTAAGTTTGTCAAGATGAGCCACCTGCTGGTTATCAATGTGGCCTTAGCGACTGTTCTCATGGTGAGGGGAGTTTATGCTGACTCTGCTTAGACATACAACTCCCAACTCAACAATGAACTCAGTTTTTGTCTATGGAGTGGAAGACCTTGTGCCACGTGGTCAGTCACTGCTATAACTGTGATGTGTAGAAAACATTTTTAAGATTTCAGTTCAGTTAAATATAAATTGTGGAGTACTTACCGCATATCAGGCACTCTTGTGAAAAGTGCTAAGGCAGCGGGAACCAGCAGTTAGCGTAATGGCTATGTCGCTGGACTCCCACGTAGTCGACCGCGATTCGTGTCCCAGACCCGGTGGCTTAAAACTCACGCCGGGCACGTGTGCGTGCGTGCCCAAGATCCCGAGAGGAGAATGGAGGAGAAGGGATTGCGGCGTGACCATCCCCCCTGGGGGGTGATTTCTCGCTTTCTATCTCTATGTCTCTCTCTGTCTGTCTGGCGAGCGCACGCGCCCTACAGTGAAAATCTCTCCAAAAAAAAAAAAAAAGTGCTAAGGCAGGTATAGACTGGCTGCCCTAGTAGGCGTTGTTGAACAAGACTTCCTGGAGAAGAAGGAGGCATTGAAACATTCTTTGCTCCAGCGGAGAATTGGAGGTGGAGTGAAATGATACATCCAAGGTTTTAGGGCAGAAGAGAATACAGATGTTGAATGGTGTGGGTTCATGTTTTCCAATATTCAAGGCCCCAGATTTCCCAGAGGGCACTTTCTTAGGCCACTCAGGGCAGCTTGAGTTCAATGTTACAAGCAAAGGAGGAGATGGCTGGCTTCGTAGTGCAGGCTCCCTGTATTTGTTCTGAGGCTGACGGAGAGAGGAGGGCAGCAGGTGGGGGTGAGAGCACTGGGGAGGAGGAATGGGGGCTGCAGACAAAAGACCTAGAAACTCCAAACCTTCACAACCTACACCACCTGTATGCATTTCACAATCTTTAAACTTTTTCACTTTAAATATTAATTTAATTTAATTTTATTCATTATTATTATTATTTTAAATTTGACCAGAGAGGGACAAGATGAGAAAACAAGCTGCCAGGTCTAAGATTTGAACCGCGGTTGGCCATGTGGGAATCCGGTGCCTTAACCACTGCACCACCTGCCGGCCCCTCATTTTACGATCTTTTTATTGCACTTACTCAGACCAACAGTCATCAGAATGGAAATACAACACTGTGGGGAGAGGGTTTTATGGGGAGGGGAAAGATTTTAGAGTTTGAGAGGTAGATCAGAATTGGGGAAAGAGCAGAGGGTCCTCCAGGATAGGGAACAGTGAGGGGAGCAACCAATTTTAAAGAAAATTTGCTATAGAGTTCCTGTGCTCACTGGAGAGAGAGAGAGAGAGAGAGAGCGAGAAAGAGAGAGAGAGAAAGAGAGAGGGAGGAAGCAAGAAAGCACCCTCCAGGGAGGATGGACACACCACAATCCCTTCTCTTCCATTCTCCTCGGAATTTTGGATACACACACACACACACACACACACACACCAGTGCCTGGCGTGTTCCTCAAGCCGCTGGTTCTGGGGCCTGAACTGCATAGTTAGCTACGTGGGATTCAGCCACCCCAATCACCACACCACCTACTGGCCCCAGAATTTTTTTCAAGATTTATTTTATACATGATAGAGTGTAGGTGAGTGTGTGAGAAAGAAAGAGAGAGTGAGACGCCATTGACAGGACCTTGTTATGCTGCCATCCCCTTACCCCAACTCTCCAGCTTGTCGGGGTCTTGGCGCTGTGAGTACACGCCTGCTGTTTCGGGTCAGCCAGGCTGTGGATCTAAATCCCTGGTTGGCCATGTGGCTTTCAGCACTGCCATTCAATACGCTACTCACGGCACCGTGAGGCTGAGCCACAAATAGAAAATTTGATGACCTCAAATCATTGGGGGATCTTAGATTGTGTGCATCACATGTCTGAGACAACCACGATAGTGTCAGAGCCGATTTGCAAAACCCACAAATCACGGATGCTTTTCCCAACAAGGGTCAGTTTAAGACTTCTCTGCCTCATTTGGGAACTTTCATATGAGAAGGGAGGACTGAAAGACAGTGAAGGCCAGTCATGGTGGTGCAGGCAGTTGGGCACCTGCCCCATGTCGGGGGCCCAGGTTGGATTTGGATCTACCTGAGCCATGCTGGGAGTGTCCACTCGTGCCTGTGATCCTGGCTGACTGGGAGGCTGCAGAGAGGATTGCAGTGAGAGAGACCCTCTCTCTCATTAAATAAATAAACTTAACAAAAAAAGAACATGAGGGAACCAGCAGTTAGTGTAATGGCTATGTTGCTGGACTCCCACGTAGTCGACCACGGTTCGTGTCCCGGACCCAGTGGCTTAAAACTCACGCCGGGCGTGTGTGCGTGCGTGCCCAAGATCCCGAGAGGAGAATGGAGGAGAAGGGATTGCGGCGTGACCATCCCCCCTGGGGGGTGATTTCTCGCTTTCTGTCTCTATGTCTCTCTCTGTCTGTCTGGCGAGCACACGCGCCCTACAGAGAAACTCTCTAACAAAAAAAAAAAAAAAGAACATGAAGGCAAATCTCAATCCCTCTTTCTTTCTTCTCTTTCCCAAGCCTGGTAGAACACTAAAATTTCTCTTTGAAGAACTTCAGGGCTTTTTTTTTTTGCTCACCAAAATTCATGGTAGCTATCATAAAGAAAGAGAGAGAATGAATGATCTTACCCAAGGATTTTTCAGTTAGAAGAGACTTAATCCAGGCCTTCTTTTGCCTGGGAGCTTTCTTGGGGGACTTTTGGGGCCAGATGCAGACCCCAGGCACAGTTAGATAGGCCTGGGGGTGGTAGTAATTCTTAGCGTGGAGCCTGGAGGTTATGATGCGTTCCTTTCTGTTTCTCTGCTAGGCCTCAGTGGTAGAGAATGGGATGTTAAACAAATAGAGAAAAATGAAGAATAAGACTTTTTCCAGAATTACGCACAGATAGCTATATTAGTGGTTCTTTTATTTTCTTTGCAATTAGTATCCTGAAGAGACGCCTAAAAGAGTACAGCTTCCATAAATTGAAACACACATGTCTTAGTTCTGCTCTTCAGATTTAAACTCACAAGCATCTGGATGGGCTTCGAAATGTGTTACCTCCCCATAACTTCCTCAATCTCCCGACACGAAATTTTGTTTCCCTGGAATGTGATTGTGAAAGGTCCAAAGTGACCAGCGAGTCGCTCTGCAGATACAGGGAGTGTGGCACTCTTACACACACGCAAGGACCTGTTCACAAATCAGGACCCCTCCGTGACGCCGCTGGGGCCCAGGCTCTGAGGGTGGGAAGCAGAACCTCATTTCAGTGGCCTAGAAAAAAATGGCGGCCTTCCGTTAGAGCCAAAGTACGCGGCCAGCCAGTTTTGTTCACCAGCCACAGCCTGGGTCTGGGGCCCAATGTCCCTAAGAATTGACAGTGTCCCTCAGCCCGAGACACTGGAGCTGTCCAGGTTGGGCGTATTGGGTCAGTAAGGGTGATTATCCATTGGGAGCCGGGGCATCTCAGTAAGAAGGTGTTAGAAAGGTCTGAGAGGGCTTGGCCCGTGTTTGGAGGTGTTTGGTCTTTGTCCTCAAGCACCATGCCACCTGCTAGCCCCACCCTTTTTGTATTTTAGAAAATGCCCTTCTTTTTGCCTCTGTTTGGGTGAGTCTGGAATATCTCGTTTGTCTTGCTTGGTCATCATCACAGAGATGGTCTGTGTGACGTCGACGTGCTGTGGTTGTTGGTGCTAAGCAGGGACTTTACTTAGTGGGAGGTGCTAGGCCGGTCCCCCTGTCAAGGCTGGCTCTCTGTCAGCACACAGACACGTCTCTGCTGATAAAACCTGGTAACTGCACAGAGGCGTACCATCAGGAGGGGGTCTGTGTCTGGCATAGTCAGGGCCAGCTCTTTCAAGGCATGTCAAGACCTGGTCAGCATGTGAGGCTTCCCGATGTCCCCAGTTGCAACCTAAAACCCCCTGCACCTCATTGCAGAAGCAAAGACTTTGTTTTGTTTTGTTTTGTTTTGTTTTGAGGGAGATTTTTGCTGAAGGGTGTGTGTGCTTGGCAGAGAGACAGAGAAACAGAAAGCAAGAAATCATCCCACAGCGGGGATGGCCATGCCACAATCCTTTCTCTTCCATTCTCCTCTTGGGATTTTGGGCATGTACACATACACACCTGGTATGAGTTTTAAGCTTCCTGGTCTGGGACTCGAACCGCTATCAACTACTTGGGAATCCAGTGATGTAACTATTATACCATCTACTGGTTCTAGAAAAGAGCATGTTTCTAGGCTGCCCACCAAGGTTGTCAGTCCTCTGTTCTTCATCATTTCAGTATGAATATGATGTCACTGGGACCAGCAAGTGGCATGGTGGTTAAGGCGCTGGACACTCCCACATGGCTGCCCATGGTTCAAGTCCTGGACCTGATGGCTTGTTTTCTCACCATCCCCCCCCCGCCCCCATGTCTTCCTCTGATCAAATGAAAACAAATGAATATGTGTCACTTAACAACAGGGCTACATTCTGAGAAATGGGCATTGGGCCATTTCATCACTGTGCAAACATTATAGAGTGCACTTACCCAAACCTGGGTACAGCCCACTACACACCCAGGCCACACGGTGTGGCCTACATGCTCTTGAAGGGGCCACTATGGTATATGCAGCTTGTCATCGACCGAAATGACATTACGTGGCACATGACAGTACTCATGGCTTGGACCCTTCCATGGATACATGCCCTTAAAAAGAAAAAGAAAACGACCTTTAATGTTCTGATCCCACTAAGGCTTGCAGTGACAGAGAGTCAGACATGCCTGGCCCAGGTCACACCATACTTGAGAGTCTGGGAACCGCATAGGAGACCCAGGTTCAGTTTCTGGGCTAAGTAGAACACAGCACGTGTCATTGTGTGTCCTGGTAATCCTAGCTGATTTGGAGGCTGGGGCAGGAGGGTCACAACATGGCCTATCTTCACCCTCTGAAAAGTCCCCCCCCGCCCCCGCCACCCTCTCTTGCATTAAAGGAAAAAGAAAACCAGATTTTCTTCTCATTGATATTCATGCTTCTGTGAAAAAACAAGACACAGATTTCAGGACCAGCAGTTAGCACAATGGCTATGTCGCTGGATTCCCATGTAGTCGACCGCAGTTCGAGTCCCTGACCCGGTGGCTTAAACTCATGCCGGGCGCGTGTGCGTGCATGCCCAAGATCCCGAGAGGAGAATGGAGGAGAAGGGATTGCAGCATGGCTATCCCCCTGAGGGGTGATTTCTCGCTTTCTGTCTCTCTGTCTCTGTCTTTCTGGCAAGTGCATGCACCCTATAGCAAAAAACCTCTCCCCCCCCCCCCAAAAAAAAGACAGATTTTTAAGATGTTTGGTAGGCTACAGTTATTTTATTTTTTGAAGAATTAATTTTTATTTATTATTATTTTAATTTGCTATAGGTCATGTGTGCTCACTAGAGAGAGAGGCAGAGAGGGAAAATGAGAAAGCAAGCCTCCAGGTCCAGGACTTGAACCACAGTTGGCCGTGAGGGAGTCCCGTGCCTTAGCCACCACGCCACCTGCTAGCTGCTGGACTACAGTTTTTTAGAACTAAAATTCATAGAGATTGAACTTTATGTGTAAAATGCTGGTTCATCCTTCAGGATGAGCCCAGGTGTTCCCTGGGAAGCCTCCACAGGCTTGTCCTTGGGTTAGGGTCTCTTTCTTCCCTACATGCCCCCTCATCCCTGCCTCCCACCTCTTTCCTGAGAGACCCTTGCTTTTCTTTACTATATCTCGTAAGGCTGAGAGCTCCTTGCAAACTCAGAATATGAGCTCTGTGGTGGCCAGATGGTCATTTCGGTAGTGGTGGCATGTGGTACAGTGCTTGGCACGGCAGACTTCGGGTACCCACTCACAGAATGACTGAATGAACCAAGTTGATTTGCACCAGAAATGGGCTTCGATGGTCCTGCATGTTCGTGACTGATGGCTCTGTCATATTCTGCCTCGATTGATCATTTTTCTCCCCTTTCTTCCTCTGAAGTACTCAGGTAATGCAGACAAATACGTTGTTACAACTGGACCCAGCCATGCCAGGAGTGTATTCTGGAAATCCATACCCATTTGGAATTGATCCGGTAATATTCTTGGGTTAAATATTTATTATATAAAAAGTCTTGTTGGGGTGATCTCTGAATTGAGGAGAAGATGCTAGAATCTGTCAGATCAACAAGCTTCTGTTGAGATAGGATAAATTATACCGAGGGTTTTTTTTTTGCACACAGAGCTATATTTTTATTTATTTATTTATTTATTTAGAGATTTTTGCTATAGAGTGTATGTACTCTCCAGAGAGACAGAGAGACAGAAAGCAAGAAATCACCCATTGGGGGGATGGCTGTGCCACAATCCCTTCTCCTCCATTCTCCTCTCGGGACTTTGGGCATACATGCACACACATCTAGCATGGTTTTAAGCTGCCAGTTCCAGGAATCAAACCACGGTCAAATACGTGAGTCCAGAAATGTAATTATTGACCATCTGCTGGTCCCCAGAGCTGGAGTTAAAATAAATGTCTTACCAAAACCCTTTACCTGGCCCCTGGGTTATTTTCCGTTCAGTTCCAAATACCTAAGTCTACCAAATATACCCTTGGTAGTTAATGGTTGCTTCCTTAAAAGGTCCTTGGTTGCCCGGAAAGTGCACATTTCCTAAGACCTTTCTCATCCTAATCAGGTTCTCTACTTGGACATTTTCCTGCATTGTGTAACGTTTTTATTTTTCCTAGAAAAGTATGGAATTGCTTTTATGTTTGCTTTATGTTAGTGCATAGAATTTGACACAAGATTTTAAAAAGATACATTGTGCTTTTTATGTGTTTGTTGTATCTATCTCAGTCAACTAGATTCAAGCTAAGGAGAACCAAGTGCTTCCTCACACAGCCTTTGATATAAAAGGGTTTTGAGCGGATACACATGCCTGTTCACGAAAGCCGAGCACACACGATGGCCCACTGTATGCTGCCACCAGGTGGCGGCCTTGTGCCCTACACAAGCATGAGAGGCCTGGAACTAGGCTGGGCCGGTTCTCTTTGTGGGAGACCTGAGGCTTGGCTGGGTTTTAATTGCTGACAGTTAAGAATAAACAGTATTGGTCCTAAAACTGGTTTCTGGTCTCTCCCATCTTATGGGTCCTCTCTTTTTCAGTTTTTCCGGGTCTTTCTACTGTCTTCCTGCCTCCCTGCCCTTATAAAAACGGAAAGCACTGCCCCGGGTTTGTTTATCCTTACCTCCCAAGAGCACTTGCCTCCTCAGCTACATCAAAAGGAAATGTTGGTTGGAAGCTGCAAAGTGCTAACAGCAAATGTGAGCTGTTGCCGTTGTAGAATAAAAGGCTTTATCCTTGGTCAAGGCAATTTCACAATTAGTAGTCGGTTGAGGAGGAGTGCAGGGAGGATGACTGTAGGCCTGGGGGTCTTCCCTTCCTCGGACTGTCCCGGCTCCCACTGCCCTCTCTTCCCTCACGGCCCGCTTCTGATTTACTGGTAAACCCCGTCTGCCCATTTCCGTGCCTCCCACAGAGCTGGCGTATGGCATCTCACACTCCAGGGCTGGGGAGCCCCGAGTGTGTCCAGCACACAGTTTCGTCATCTGCATGCAAGTTAGACAAGAAGAAAAATGTTGGAGTCAAAGATAAAGTGAATGTGGAAAATAATGAACTTTTCTGTAGTAATATATAAAGTTTTGCAATTTTCTGGTTTGTTTTTGTTTTTGTTTTTTTCCATTGAGTGTGTGCGCTTCCTGGAGAGAGACAGAGAGAGAGGGGGAAAGCGAAAAGTCATACCCCCACCCCCCAGGATGGTCAGACTACAATCCCTTCTCCATTCTCCTCTCAGGATTTTGGGCACGCGTGCACACGGGCCCAGTGTAATTTTCAAGCCATCAGGTCCAGGACTTGAACTACGAAGTCAGTGATATGAGAGTTCAGCGCTTTAACCATCATGCTACTTGCTGGCCCTGAAAATGTCCAATTTTTTAATCGCAGAGATAATACATACACATAACATCCCACTCCTCGCTTAACAACCTACCTGTCGTGCTGGCGCGTGGGGTCCTCTTTCTCAGACCGCGTGAGTTTCAGCAGTCTCCTGTCTCAGTCTTTGTTTTGCTCCTGCAGTCAGTTAGTATTCAGGGCAGGAAGCATTTGCAATCAGGCAAGACTACATATTTGTTTATAAATTTGTCCTTGATGGTGCGCCCAGAGTGTAGGAGGTCAGCATATAGGAAGAAGGTGATTTTGCCTGGAGCGTCTTGTACTTTTCTGTCGCTTTTTGTTCGGAGAGAATTGCATTATTCTAGTGTGGTGTCCTGTGATGTCTATTAAAAAATACATACACTGGACCAGCAGGTGGCATGGTGGTTAAGGGCACTGGACTCCCATATGGCTGACCACAGTTCGAGTCTTAGACTTGGTTGCTTGCTTTCTCACTTTCTGTCTCTCTCACTCTGTCTCTGGTCAAATTAAAATAAATAAATAAAATTAAATTAAATAATTCTTTTTAAAAATTGCATACACTGTGGCACCATAACACAGCCTAGAACATCCACCTTGAAGCTCTTCGCTTACCAACCAACTTGCTTATTGACGTAGTCACAGGAACATAACTTGGTGGTGACATGAGGAGCACCTGTATTTAAATAAAATGGAAGTTGCCATTTCTGCCTCTCTTATTCCCACAATCCCATTTCTTAAAAGGATAATCACTTTATTATTCTTTAATTAATTTTTATAAATTGTTTTTAAAATTATTTATATTGGGACCAGCAGACAGCGTCATGGTTAAAGGCGCTGGATTCCCACATGGTCGTCCACGGTTCAAGTCCCGGGCCTGGTGACTTGCTCTCTCTTCTCCTTTTCACTTTCTCTCTCTGGTCAAAATTGAAAAATGGTGGTAATAAGTAAATAATTCTTTTAAAAATGTATTTATATCTTCTATAAGCAAGAGAGACACAGAAAGAGGGAGACAGGCACTGCCATCAGAGTCCCCACTTGGATCCTCTGTTGCCTCAACCAGCCTAGCTCACGGGCTCACCCCCAGCGAACATCAGAAGGCCTTGGGATGTGAACCCTGGGTCTTCCCGTGTGGTATAGCATCAGTGCTGTATTGCTGCCACATCATTGCTGCCCAGATAACCACTTTTACAAGTCACTCCTGTGCCTATACTGGTACTTGTGTCATACATATGAATGAAAGGTTGAATTTTTATACAGTGTGATTTTTTTCTTTAATATGTTATAGGGGATATACACTCGCTGGAGAGAGATGGAAAAAAAGGAAAGTGAGAAATCACCCCTCAGGGAGGACGGCTACACCATAACCCTTCTCCTCTATTCTGGGGTTTTGGGCATGCACTCACATGCACCTGGTGTGTTTCTCCACTGCCAGGTCCAGGGCTCAAACCTTGCCATTGACCTTGGGGGATCCAGCTGCCTTAACCACCACGCCAACAGTTGGCCCTGTAATGTAAATTTCTACAGTGTGCTAATTGGCTGCATTTAGCATCTATTTATGGATGATTCCAAATATTTTATAGTAACTGAACATAACAAAAGAATTAGGCACCTATGTTCTGGAATCAGACTGTTGTGTTTAAATCTTGGCTTTCCTATTTACTTACTCTGTGATTTTAATCTTAGAAGTTATTTCTGTGGTTGCAGCTTTGCTTGTAAAAGGGCTCTAATAACAGCCCTAAGCCAGAGCTGCTCAGCAGATGAAATCATTTTTATACATAGAGCTCCCAGAAGAGTCTGGTATACAAACATGATTAATGCCCTGTGGATAATAGTTGCTGTTAAATTATTCTTTTCTAGATGCGTAAGTACCATAATCTAATTGAGATGATGATAAATTCCCATAAAATGGGAATAACCATATCTACCTCACAGAATGTTTGTTAGAGGGGTAGGAGCAGGGACTTGGAATCATGTGCATGGGGTGTGAGTGGAGACCTTGGGGGTGCTGAGAGTTCTGTGGGGAAAGGCAAGGTGGGTGACAGGAGTTGTTAGGCATCATGAGACCCCTGCTAGCCCCTGACCATCCCGTGTGCTTGCTCCATGTGTCTGCTTCATCGGGGACAGGATAGGTACTGGGACCCACCCTGCACGCCTGGCAGTGCTGTTTAGAACAAGGACTGTGTAGAGGGATCAGTAGATGGCGTAGCGGTTACATCACTAGATTCCCATGTAGGCGATCGCAGTTTGAGTCCCAGATCTGGCAGCTTAAAACTCACACTGGGTACATGTGCATGTGTGCCCCAAATCCCAAGAGGAGAATGATGGAGAAGGGATTGTGGTGTGGCCATCCCCCCTGGGCAGATGATTTCTCACTTTCTGTCTCTTTGTCTCTCTAGTGAGTGCACATGCCCAATAGCAAAAATCTCTCTCTAAAAAAAAAAATGAACAAGAATTATAGAAGGCAGGGTCCATGTCTTACCCACAGGGTTCACTAAGACTGGCTACCGGAAGGATCTGGGGAAATGTTTTGAAATGTGAAGTGCTGTAGAAATTGAATGTAGGGACCAGCAGATGATGTAATGATTACGTTGCAGTACTCCCACATAGTTGACCACGGTTTGAATCCCAGACCTGGTAGCTTAAAACTCATGCCGGGTGCATGTATGTGTGTGCCCAACATCTGGAGAGGAGAATACAGGAAGAGGGACTGCAGCATGGCGATTCCCCTGGGGGTGATTTCTGGCTTTCTTTCTCCCTGTCTCTCCGGTGACTGCACGTGCCCTGCAGCAAAAAATCTCTCCCTTAAAAAAAGAAAAGAAATTTAGTCTAAAAAGTGGTATCATTTGAAAGGGATTAGAATCATTCATGGGCCAGTGATCCAGAGGCCATTATTAAGGAAAATGAGGCAAGTTTGAGACCCACTGTTTTGTATTATCTTTTCATTTAATACCAGGGCATGGTGGGGGAAGTATCAAGTGGAAATTTTCTCCCTAATTTTCTTCTAGCACTAATGGTTCTGACACTTTTGTCATTGAGGTTGCATTTATAAAAGAGCTTGGTACTAAAATGCATGCACTGATCTGGTCTGGAAATGGAAAACGCAGTTCCCAGAGTGACTTCCTCAGGGGAGATTGTGCTGAAGCCCCCAACTCCGGTAGACTGTCTAAGATTCTGCCTCACGTGTTTCTTGCCACATTTCCCACCCAGATTTGGAACTTGGCTTCAAATAAACTCACATTTTTGAACTCCTACAAGATGAAGATGTCGGTGATCCTGGGAATTGTCCAGATGGTTTTCGGTGTCATTCTCAGCCTTTTCAACCACGTGTAAGTTTCCCACGCTGCTTTCTGCCCTTACTCCACTTGGCACTGTGTCCCTCTGCCCATGGCGCCTTTCTCTGGGGAGTGCTGTCCTGCGTTGTTGTATTGAGCTGGATGGCCGGACACGGGGACACCTCTGGGTCCTCCAGAGCAGAGACTCTCCGAAATACCTGAGAGTTCAAAAAGAAACTGGGAAACTCATAGCACGTGGGTGTCCCCCCTCCCCTGCAAGGCCTGCCGGGGTTGGCGTCCTGTCCAGTCTTAACTCCCGCCAGGTGGACAAATGGGGAAATAGTGAGTTGTGGGGGAGATGCCCTCAGGTGAGCATCCCGCCCGGTGTAGTTTCCTCCTAGGCGCAACCTCTCTCTCACCCCTCTGGCGGGTACTGCCGGCCAGTCTGTTCCTTTCCTCCTGTTGGGTGATCCGGCAAGCCATGACACATTTGTGTAGAGAAAAACACTTCATGACTTTCCTGACGACCTAACATCAAGATCCATTGCTGGAGAAGCTTCTTAAGCTTATTTATACTGAAGGTATACATGTTTGAAAATAGCGTCACACGTGCGTGCTCGCCGTGCCTAAGGAGCACATGACTGGTTGGTCTTGCTGAAATCCCACCTACCGTGTCGGTTAGGAATAAGTTGGGGTGCCGTGGGAATTATGTGGGATTTGGAAGCAGAATTTAAGCCATGCGATCAGAGACATGTGTCCACAGCGGGTCCCCGGGGCTCTGCCCTGTCACCCTTACACCAAGACCTGCACTGACCGGCAGCCACCACCTGGTACACAGGCTGTTGCCATGGCAGTGGGTGGTGGTGAACTGTACATTGATTCTTACCCACCCCGCTGCCACCCACAAGTGACACGTGCCACTTTTGTTCCCAGTTCTTGGGCCAGAGAGTCACGTGGTGACTTCCGACTTGAGAGGCCGAAGAAATATAATTCTACTTATAGAACCAGACATAGTTGTTTCTTTTTTCTTGTAGAGAGAAATGTTCGCTATAGGGCATGTATGCTCGCTGGAGAGACAAAAAAACAAGAAATCACACACACACCCCGCCAGGATGGCCACGCCACAATCCCTTCTCCCTGATTCTCCTCTTGGGATTTTGGGCACACAGGCACGTGCACCCGGCGTGAGTTTTAAACTGTCGGGTCCTGGGCTTGAACTGCGGTCAACTCTGTGAAAGTCCAGCAATGCAACCATTATACCATCTGCTGGCCCCAGAACCAGAAACGTTTAATAAGCAAACTGACTGTCCCCTACCACTGCCTACCTGAAGGGACTGAGCATGGCATGAATGAAAATACCAGCAGGTGCTTTCCGGACGAGACCACCACTGGCATCATCGCCTGTCAGGCTGGCCTAAACTGTCACTAGCAGTCCTGTTTCGTCCTGTAATTCTCTCCCTTCCCTCAGGGCTTTTACAATAAACAAAGGACAGGAAGGCCCTTTCTGATGTTTCCACTTGCAAGCCTCCATCTTTGCCTTGTGGGCTCTGTGTCTTGTAGCAGGAATTGGCAAACTTTGAGGGGGCCAGAGAGTGAATATTTCAGGCTTTAGAGGCCATAGAGATGCTGTGTGGCAGCTAATCAGTCCTGGTGCTATAGAATGATGGATGATAGGCAAACGAGTGAAGCTGTGTTCCATTAAAACTTTATTTATGGACACTGACATTTGAATTTCATATACTTTTCATGTATTATAGAATATTGTTCTTTTTATCCCCCTCAATCATTTAAAAATGTGAAACCTGGGCCAACTCCATGATGCAGAAGTAATGCATCATTTAAGAAAGCCTGTGTAGTGACCACGGTTCAAATGCCCTGTCTGGTCAGCCGAACCATGCTGGGCATGCAGGAGTGTCCAGTGCCCAGGCTGGAGGACTGGAGGGAGGGGACCGCAACGTGACCAGACCCTGTGAAGGGTGTTCATTTCTGTTTGTCTCTCTGTCTTGTGAACGTGCCCTATCGTGAATAAAGTAGCAAAGGAATAAAAAGTAAAAACCATTCTTCACTTTCGGGCTACATAAAAACAGGTGATGGGCTTGATTTGCCCTGCAGGCCATAGTTTGCCAACCAATGTCTTAGAGTGTCCTGGGAGTTGGCTGGCTTCCCCCACACTCGTAAATATGGGGCCTCACAATGCTCATGGAAAAAGTGGAATTGATATACAAGTTTGGTCCCCCAATTTTTTGGATCCATGCATAGTTTTTCTTTTCTTTCTCTTTTGCTTTTAAGTTATAAAGGACACATGCTCTTGCCAGAAAGAGAGAAAGCATCCCAATGGGGTGTGTTCACACTACAGTCCTTTTTCCTCCACTTCTCTGTTCTGTCAGGACTTTGGGCATGCATGCATATGTGCCTGGTTTGTTTGTTTGTTTTTGGAGAGGTTTTTGCTATAGGGCACGTGCGCTCGCCAGACAGACAGAGAGAGACAGAGAGATAGAAAGCAAGAAATCACCCCCCAGTGGGGATGGTCATGCCGCAATCCCTTCTCCATTCTCCTCTCAGGATCTTGGGCATGCACGCACACGCGCCCGGCATGAGTTTAAACCACCAGGTCTGGGACTTGAACAGCGGTTGACTACATGGGAGTTCAGCAACATAACCATTACGCTAAATGCTGGTCCCCGCCTGATTTGTTTTACAAGCTGCTGGAGCTGGGATTCAAACTATGGTCAGCCATATGCTCTCCGACCCATTATACACAGAGTTTAACCACTGTGCTATGGACCCAGCCCCATACTCTTTCCTTAATATGCATTTTCCATACACTTTTTGAAGATCCTCATCAATCCTTTGCCTTTAAATGCCTTAAAGTGAGCTTGGTCTCCATGTGAAGCTGCAGCCAATTCTGTGTGGGCATGACCTTGGCTGAGACCCTGCTTTCTCCAAACCTTTCGTGCGTGAGCACTTCCTGGAATTTCCTTTCTCTTCTCTTCTGTCCAAGCACGGCTGCTGTTTGCCATGGTTGCTATTTGGCAGCAGTGTTTAAAAGTGGAACATTCTGTGCTTTGTGGAGAATCATCGAGTACTAAGGTTCCCTTGGTGTTCCAGCTTGTGTGTGCATGTGTGTGTTTTCTACCCTCAGACACTTCAGAAAACCTCTCAACATCATTCTGCAATTCATCCCGGAGATGATTTTTATCCTGTGTCTGTTTGGATACCTGGTTTTCATGATCATCTTCAAGTGGTGCCAATTTGATGTCCACGTGTCCCAGCACGCCCCGAGCATCCTCATCCACTTTATCAACATGTTTATGTTTAACTACAACGACCCTTCTAACGCGCCCCTGTACAAACACCAGGTAGGTCCGTTTGTTGTTCTTCTTTCATCCACGTGAGGGTGTCAAATCTCTTTTGTGTTCTTGAATATCGCAGAGTAGTGGCCATCGGCCCTTCATATCCATGGGGTCCATATCTTCAGATTCAACCAACTCTAGATTGAAAATATTTGTAAGATACAATGTTTTCTAAAGTTGGTTTCATCCGTACTAAACATACACAGACTTTTCCTTCTCATTTTCTCCTTAACACAGTAACATAACTGTTGGGTCATTGGAAAAGTCATGATGCACTTTTGCACAGAAAAACATAGAAAAATATGTCATGACTTTTCTGACAGCCCAAAAATGACATGGCATTTGTGTTGTACTAGGTATTATAAATAATCTACAAATGATTTAAAGTATATGGGAAGATAGAGGTAGGCTCTATGCAAATACTGCTCCATTCTAAGTAAGAGACTTGAGCATCTGCAGGGTCCGATATCTCTGGGGGGTCCTGGACCCAATCCCCTGTAGATACCGAGGACTGTATTTGTAAGATGGAGCCACCTTAGCTCCTGTGAACGGTGTGAAGTTCTTCACATTTCAAAACGTGCTTATTAAATGGAAGTCCAGGCCTCGAGGGCTGTGGTTTGGCTCCAGTGATTCCTATTGGGGTAATACATAAAATCGATTATTATTGAGAGGCTGAAAATGGCGTGTTATATATTGCCTAAGAATAAAGAGGAAAGATAATCCTTCAAATTAATTGGCTTGAAACAGTAAAATGCTCTCACGAGCACCTTGAGGGGACCAGCAGCTAGCGTAATGGCTATGTCGCTGGACTCCCATGTAGTCGACCACAGTTCGCATCCCGGACCCGGTGGCTTAAAACTCATGCTGGGCGTGTGTGTGTGCGTGCCCAAGATCCCGAGAGGAGAATGGAGGAGATGGGATTGCGGCGTGGCCATCCCCACTGGGAGGTGATTTCTCGCTTTCTGTCTCTCTGTCTCTGTCTGTCTGGCGAGCGCACGCGCCCTATAGCAAAAACCTCCCCCCCCCCAAAAAAAAAGAAAGGAAAAAAAAAGAGCATCTTGAAATTTAAGAATGTTTTATTTAGAAAGTCCACTCTAGTTAAGGTTCACAAGATCGAAAATTGGTAAAGAACCAGGAAAAGGAACCCCTCCATTCATATAGATGGTGAATTTCTGGAAAACTCTGACCTAAACTCACATTGTCCTCTGAGCTTCCACGTCTGGTCAGAGATGAGTTTTAGCATTTTTTGCCCTTTTACTGTGGAGAGTTAATCCCAACAGTTGGACTTGAGCTGCTTGAATTCTTCAATTTCTTTCACTCTCTTGGTCAACTTAATATATTATTTTTAAAAATAATGTCCCATTGGAACTGGATATAAAAATAACTCTGTGAGTAATTCTTAATAACCCAAATAGTTCTTTTCCCTGGACCTCTCCCAGTGATTAACCTGGTAATGTTGTTTGAGGGCAACTTTCCTCTAAAGGAAGACGCCCTCATCTAGGCTCTCATTCCTCTGGATCAAATTCTGCGGCTACTTTCACACCAGGGGACCCTTCGGTGCAGGCCCTGTCTACCAGGGCGTGCTTGTGATAGGTGTCCTAAAGTCGTGCTTCTCCTGCTCACGGACCCTCTCGTGCGTTTGAGCCCTATCTTATTAGGTTGTCACAAAAGTCATGACATTTTTTCTGTGCAAAAATGACTCACGACTTTTCCGACGACCCCGTAGTTGGTTCTCCTCCTCAGAACCATGAAATGACAGTAAGAGAAAAATGCGTCGTGACAGTGTTTTCGTAAGGATGACTTTAGGTAATACTCAGAAGAAGTACAGCTCTGAGAGCTCTTTCATGGTGTCCCGTCGCACTGGTGGCACCTTATCATTCTATGTAAATGGCAACCTTGAGCCACCCCCAGAACGCTGACCTGAAATGAGTGTGTTTTCATGGTTCTTATACTAGATGCTGAAGTCTAAAGGAAAGTTTATTTGACAAAAACCTCTCAAAAAAAAAAAAAGTTTATTTGGACCTCCCCAAAAAGCCTTGTCTTTCAGACAGAGGGCTCCGACTCAGCAAATATTTCACGTGCCAGCTGCTTTCACAGAGACTGGAGACCTCTCGGACTGGAGTCTGCACTGAGCACTGTGCAGCGGAGGCTGTTCCCAGCTTCGCCCACTCACTAACATGATCTGGGTTGTCTGGCTTCCCCCACGCCCTCGCAGGGAGGTTAATTATCTTGACACAGTTTACAGTTTCTGTAACCTCGTTTTTAGGTCATGCAGCTGGAAGACATGGTGCAAGGTAATGAAGTCTTTTCCCAACATTGCCCTGGCCATCTGTGAATATCAAAGGACGTAACAGATGTGTGTATACACATGCGCACACACACGCACGCGCACACACACGCATGCACACACAGATAGGCACGTGTCTCACGCGCACACACACGTACACGCACACAAACGCATGCACACACAGATAGGCACGTGTCTCACTAGGGGCTTTGTACATCAGCAGGGGAAAATAGCCTCCGATAAGAGTGGACAAATAGCACCGATGTGTCTCCGTGTGAGGGGAGGAGATAGCAAGCTCACTATGTTCCGTGGTCGCCTCTCCCTGTTCTGAGCCTTTAAAAGCAGAGTGAAGGGACCAGCAGTGGTGTAATGGCTGAGTCACTGGACTCCCATGTAGTCGACTACAGTTCGAGTCCTAGACCCGGTGGCTTAAACTCACGCGTGCGTGCATGCGTGTGTGAGAGGAGAATGGAGGAGAAGGGATTGTGGCGTGGCCATGCCCCCTGGGGGGTGATTTCTCACTTTCTGTCTCTGTCTCTCTCTGTCTTTCTGGCGAGCGCATGTTCAACACCCCCCCCCCCCCCAAAAAAAAAAAAAAAAGCAGAGTGAGAATAGCAGACCTCGAACCGCTCAGACAAAAAGCCATTTTAAGTCTAAGGGTCTAAGCTATATCTTGGCATGTTTGGGGACAAAGGTGACTAAAGCTATGCTCCAAGCCTCATCTTCTAGACCCCCGAAACACGCAGACAAGGGTCATTGAAATCCTCATTGCTTATTGAACCTCCTGTTTTAAGGAAGAAACTTTTTATAAATCTGAACTCATAATCTCTTTCTGTGGAGCCCACATTGCAAAACACAGTAGAGGAGAGATTTTTTTCACAGAATGACCAGAAACCACCGCAGAGGCACAAGAAATATGAGTAAACCAAGAAAATAGCTCTCCACTTAGTGAAAAGAACCATCTTTCATCATACACAGACTGCAGTGGAACTCCTGGAACTGTCTGAAAGAGAATTCAGAATATTCAGAGTGACAAAACTAAACAAGGAGGAAGAGCTGAGAGGCAATGAACTCTAGAAGATGCAAGAGAAAAGAGACGAGTTCCAGGAGGTGAAGAAGTCCTTGCACAATCTGAAAGAGGAAATACACACCATAAAAAAGAATCAAACGGAGCTGTTAGAGATGAAGGTTGCAATATAGGGATCAATACCTCCCTCGAGTATTAAAAGCAGATTAGTCCACGCAGAAGATCGAACCTCAGATGTTGAAGGCAAAACCTCTGACCTAGAAAAAATAACCCAAACTGAGAAAATAACTCAAAAAATGAGAATACTATACAAGAAACACTAGATACTAGTAAGTGTCCAAACATCCACATAATCGGTATCCCAGAAGGTGAAGGGCATTGACAATCCATGAATTTCTTCCATGAAATCCTGGAAGAAATCTTTCTAAATCTAGAGAGGCCTTCAAATATCCAGACCCAAGAAATACAAAGGACCCCTAACAGAATCAGCCCAAGAAGATCTTCTCCAAGTGAAAAACTATTTCAACCAAGAACACTATACCTGGCAAGATTATCCTTCATATGGGAAGAAACATTCTCAGATAAACAAAACCTGAAATAATTTACCAACCCCAGACTAGCTCTCCAAGAAGTTCTAAAAGGAGTGCTTTACCAAGAAAACTAAAGACACACCTACGGAAACAAAAAGCAACCAAGAAAAAGACTAACTTAATGCTCGGGACAAGAAATACCAATAATAACATAGAATGTTAACTTTTAGGATTTAAACAGAAAGATTGACCACAGTAACACTGCAAATTCAACGGAATAAAGACTAATTACGTAAGACCAAACTGGGGAAATAGAAATTCATGACTTTTGAGTAAAACATTCCTTTTTCTTTACTATGCTTTGTTTTCCCAGCTTAAGGATTTTGCTTTCTTTTGAGCTGTTGATAGGTTCAGCAATTTGTTAAAATGTTTTTTCTTCTTGTTTGTGTGTTTCTTTAAATGGAAACATAAACTTTCTCTCTTCCTGAACACTCTGGAATTGGAAAATATTTGGGAGTTTTCTTAGTTTGTGGTAGAATGGTTATTTACCTAAGTTCAATAATACCTGTTGCCTTGAATCAGAAATTTGAAATACTTGTTATTGGACAGGCCTTTGACTGGGATGCCATATTTGAAGCTTAAAGCAGAAAACTATGGAACTAGGTTAGATCTCAAGTAAGCCAACAGAAGCTCTTGGAAAGATGACCTGGCACCATGAACAGTTCTGCCTGGCAGAGAGGATTAGAGAGGCTATGTGAAAGAATTTGTACTATAAAATAACCCGGACTTTTCCAGCCAGAACAGCCACAACCAGAGGATTATCTTGAGGAAGACTTTGAAGGAAGAAAAAGAGGCTGATCTTTGCTAGCAGATGGTATATCACAGAATTACTTAGTAGGCAGGGCTAAAATGAAAAGGTTTACGTGTGACTTGTGTGTTGGGTGTTTGCTTTTCAACAGTTTGAGTAGCTGACATGTAAATATTTTCTCAAAAATGTTTAAAACCATTCTCTATTATTATAGAGTCACAAAAAAAGTTATAACAAATATTTCAAACATTATCTTTAAAATTCAGTTTTTTGAAATTTCAAAAGGCATTTATTAACTGTCAGGAACTATGGAGTATGAGCAAAATTTTTTTGATATGTGAAGTAAATGTTTGAGGGAAAATGTAAAAATAAATAAATGATAGGAAACCAAAAAAAGTGGCATGAGAATAGAAGGCTGAACAGATGAGCCACCGTTATCAGGGGAGGTCTCGCTGCCATTAGACAATACATTGTCCCCTGGCCTTTCTGGGGTTTGGTCAGAACAGTGCATGAAACAGGAAGGCCTGAGAAAAGTTTCCCAGTTTTTCTTTTCCTTTAGCCCCCAATTTCTGCTTCTTTCAGTAGCTCTAGCTGAGCCTGCTGAGGCTTTTGGTTCTTTTTAACAATTACAGCGGTGTTAGTCGGGTCCTGGGGCGAGTTTGAGAAAAGGGATAAGGGTAAGGGTGAGGGGTTGTGAATGAGATGATGCAGCAGGATCGCTCCTGCAGTGGGGCTCTTCCTGGGACTCCACAGAGATGTGAGACCTTAGGTGCCTCCCTCCAAAGTAAGTTGAAGGAGACCACAAGAGTTTGGGACGGAAGTCCCAGGATTTGTTTGGTAACTTGTCACACTGAGGCCATGCTGGTCACGTGGAGATTGTGAGGAAGAGAGAGGGCAAAAGAGGTCAAAGGATTATCCAGCACTGGAGTTACGGAATGATCGTCTGGACAATGTGTCTCTCCGTGATCCAGAGACTTTCGGTTGCTGTGCAGTGACCAGTGGCGTCATGGGACCCTCCATAGTTTTCATCCAGAGCTGGGGAAAACTTACCCCGCAGAGCAGAGTTTGAGGAAGGAGGAAGGAGTAGAGTCGCCCTCGCAGCGTCTCAGGAGTTCTTACCACGTGCTGCATGTTTGTACTCAGAGGCTACTGAGGAAGGGATGGGGGCAAGGGCCCAGTGTCCTCCCCGTGCGGGACCTGGGACATCACTGGACTGGCGTTTGTCTATCTGCAGTAGGCACGTTCCAGATGTGAGGGAGAATTGAATCATTGAAATGCTTTAGGGCCTTCAAAATTGCTACTAAAGGGAACCAGCAGTTAGCGTAATGGCTATGTCGCCGGATTCCCACATAGTCGACCGCGGTTCGTGTCCCGGACCCGGTGGCTTAAAACTCACGCCGGGCGCGTGTGCGTGCGTGCCCAAGATCCCGAGAGGAGAATGGAGGAGAAGGGATTGCGGCGTGACCATCCCCCCTGGGGGGTGATTTCTCGCTTTCTGTCTCTGTCTCTCTCTGTCTGTCTGGCGAGCGCACGCGCCCTACAGTGAAAATCTCTCCAAAAAAAAAAAAAAATTGCTACTAAAATAACCCATATTTGTCACTTTGATCACAGAAAGTATGCTTTGTGGTCACGTTAAAATAACAGGATCTCATCATTTTGGTCTTGCAGCAAGAAGTGCAAAGCTTCTTTGTTGTTATGGCTTTGATTTCTGTGCCGTGGATGCTTCTGATTAAGCCGTTCATTCTTAGAGCCAATCATCGGAAATCTCAGGTAAGGGCCATCTGTTTCCATTTACTCAGGGAGGGGAGGAATGTGGGTTTCTGGAATCAGAAGTCTAGGGTTCAAAGAGAAGCTGGCGGGGCCTGATGATCGGAGCTGTGAGCTGCCCCCACTGCGCGTCCTCCTGTGGTTGGACCCTTTCCGTGACCCATCTTCCTCCCAGGATCTCGCTCTCTTAAGAATAGGCAGGTTTCAAATGTAGGTCCTGCATGCTTTGCTCAGGGTGTGTGTGTGCTAAGTGGTAGCTAAAGATTTATAAGGGTCTGAACATGGTCGGTTTATTAGTAAAATGTATGAGTATGTTTATATAGTTTTTTTTTTTTTTTTTTTAGCTTATTTATTCTATGAGCAAAAGGGACAGAGAGACAGAAAGAAACAACACCTCCAACAGAGTCTTCAAACTGTGATCCACTCCCAGCCTCAGGCAGCCCCGGGTTATGGGCACAAGCATGCCCGCCTACTCAGGGTGGTCTCTGGACCTGAACTGGGAACCTTCCCAGGTGGTGTTACCTTACAGAGCATTGCATTTTATTGCTGCACCACCATCTAGTCATTTCACTTTAAAAAAAAAAAAAAGAATTATTTTATTTAACTTTATTTATTTATTTATTTAAATTGGACCAGAAAGGAAAGAGCAAGTGAGAGAAAGAGAGAGAAAGCAAGTTGCCAGGTCCAGGACTCTAACCATGGTCAGCCATGTGGGAGTCCAGCGCCCTTAAAGACCAAGCTACCTGCTGGCCCCGTTCACTTTGTTTTTTTCTTTTCTTTTTTTTACAATTAAAATATGAATTTATTTTGATACAAAAACTTGTTGAAATTCATGCATAGTTTTCCAATTAAACGTATTTCCATGAGCTTTTTATTTTTTCTGAAACATTTAAAAAAATTTATTCATTTACATTCATTCCCTAAGCATCGTCACAGCATACAAAATGTGATTTCCCATCCAGAATGTACATAGTGGCTTAACCATGCATGTTATCATCAATAATTTTCCATTTCTAGTTTCATACACACACACACACACACACACACACACACACACACCCTATTTCTGACCCTCTGCCCTCTCCTACCCTCCTCCCACACTATCTCTGGTGTCTACAGTTGTTTTCCATTCCCTTTTCCCCCACATTTTATTGATCACACAATTTTCTCTTTTTTTCCCTGAAACCACTATTTCTCAGGAGCCACAGAGGAGTCATCTTCTGAAGGTCCGCCCTTTGCCTCTCCACTCGAGTTTGGGGGCTGGAGGCTGAATTATCAGTAGAAAATCTTCATTTCTCTTTTTTCCCTGAAATCACTAGTTCTCAGGAGCCATGGAGGAGTCTTCTTCTCTGGCCCCCTTTACTTTGAAAAAGAATATTAAAGCTAGTTTTTGGGGCCAGCAGGTAGTGTGGTGGTTAGGGCACTGGACTCCCACATGGCTGACTGCGGATAGCGTCCCAAACCTGACAGCTTTCTTTCTCACTTTCCCTTTCTCTCTCTCTGTCTCTCTCAGGTCAAATTAAAAAATAATAGTATATAAAATAATTTTTTTTAAAAAAATAACTGGTTTTTATTAGTGCTCTTAGTTTGTGAGATTTTACTACTTTGTGCTATGGATCATGTCAGGGAACTAGAACAGCAAACAAAACTCAAACAAGTCAGTTCTTATTTCTTTGCGACCCCCTGCCCCGACCCCATCGTCAAATACTAGTTTAAGCTCATTTCCTCCTTTCGTCTGAACTGCTCCTCAGGTTTACTCAGCAGGTGAAGAAGAGTTTAGTAGCCTAAATCATATAGGATTGAGGAAAATTAACCTTCCAGGGGACAACAGAGCCTAGCTATGAGACACAAAAACTGCCATGATTGTGTTCTGCTTTCATCCATTGGTGCCAGGCATTACGTGGAGTGTGTTGAGATCATACAGGTTGAAAATGGTTGTAGATATATGAAAATGTTACTTTTCTATTTTTCTAAACTCTACTTCACCAAAATATTTATTGATTATTAAGCTGGAACATAACTTACCTGGGATATGAATGAAGAGGAAGAAAACATGGGCCAGCCTCTGGCATGGTGGTTAAGGTGGCTGGATCCAGCATGACTCGAGTCCTGGACCCAGTGGCTTGAAGAACATGTTGGGGGTGTATGTCTGTGTGCCCAAAATCCTGAAAGGAGAAATGGAGGAGAAGGGACTGCTGTACGGCCTTTTCCATGGGGTGTATTTCTCCCTTTCCCTCTCTCCACCTAGCTCAGGGAGTGTGCATACCCTCTAGCAAATAAAAATAAATAAATCAAGAAGATGAAGACAAAGCAAAGAATCCTTGTTTATTGCTCAATGAATGGTGAGAGACCACAGTGGGTACAAGGCAGCTTTTCCTCATAAGAACTTGGATGCCAGGTTCAAATTCAAAGTGAATTTGAATTTCCTTCCAAGTTTTGACAAGGAGTTTTTATCAAGCTAGGAGGCTAGAATATGCTTTACTTTTTAGAATGTTTAAGCATATGGTGGGATAGTTTAAGCAGATGGCGTAATGGCTATGTCGCTGGACTCCCATGTAGCCAACTGCAGTTTGATTCTCGGACCTAATGGGTTCAAACTCATGCCAGGCACGTGTGCATGCGTGCCCAAGATCCCAACAGGAGAATGGAGGAGAAGGGATTGCGGAGTGGCCATCCCCCTGGAAGGTCATTTCTTGCTTTCTGTCTCTCTGTCTATTTCTGTCTCTGGTGAGCGCATACACCCTATAGCAAAAATCTCTCTTTAAAAAAAAGAATGTTAAACGTATGGCATATGGACTTCCATTTTTACCCTTGCTCAGGACCCTGCTGGTATTAGGGGCAGATCCACTTAAAACAGAAAGGTAAAGTTATTTTAATGCCTAATTTTATAATATTCCTCCCATGAAGTCATTCTCAGAAATACTCTAGATTGTGGGACATTAAGCTTCACAGTGACTTGAAAGAAATGCGCTATTGAAGCTCAGGGGTAAACCGGGCTAAGTCGAATGCTGACTATACCTAGATGTTTTATTTCCTGAAATTCTTTTCACATTATTTATTTTATTTTTTTAGAATTATTTTTATTTAACTTTATTTATTTAATTAATTTTAATTTGACCAGAGAGGGACAGAGGGAAAGACAGGGAGAGAGAGGTGGGGTGGAAGAGAGTGGGAAAGCAAGCCTCCAGGTCTGGGACTCAAACCAGAGTTGACATGTGAGAGTCCAGTGCCCTTAACCACTACGCCACCTGCCTTTCACAAGTTATTTTTAAAAAGTGGTGTTTTCATTTTAAAAAGTATATCTGTATTGGGTAAGTCATTAATTTTTCTTAGCTAACTTTGCCCATGGACATCGGCTGTTCAGATCACAAGGCTGTGCAAAGGTACTTCAGATACCTCGGTCTCCGACAAGGTGTATTTAACAACACAAAGGCTCTGTCATGCACGCATTGCTTTATCTAAAGAGGGTGCATATTGGACACATCCTGAAGTGCCATGGAGTATAGCACGTGCTCTGGAATTAGACTGCCTGGGTTTGAATCCTGGCTCTGCCCATTGCTGGCTTTACTAGCTGTGTGGTCGTAGACGCATTCCTTAACCTTTCTGTCCTATGGCTTGATTCTGTGTAAAGTGGGGCAAGCACTGTGCCCACCTGAAGGCAAAATGAGACCATATGAAGAGAGTTTAGAACAGGGTCTGGGGGCTAGCAGGTGCCCGGCTATCACGTGGCCAGCAGTGGTTCAAATCCCAGACCTGGCAGCTTGCTTTCTCGTTTTTCCCTCTCTTTCTCTATCTCTCTGGTCAAATTAAAAAAAAAAAAAATAGAGCAGTGTCTGGTACAAAGCTGATATTTAACATGAACCCTTATTTGAACCTTAATTTATGTAGAACTGCTACATTCTAAGGATGAGTTTAATGCTCTCTTCATTTCCTTGTGGCTGACAGCTACAGTCATCCATGGCCCAGATTGACGCCAGAGAGGACACTGAAGGTGACAACTCCAGCCCTTCCACCAGTTCTGGTCAGAAGACTTCTGCAGGTGTCCATGGAGCTGAAGATGACCATGAGGGAGAGGTACCTGGGTGTCCCCGGGGCTGAGGATGACCATGAGGGAGAGGTACCTGGGTATCCCCGGGGCTGAGGGTGACCACGAGGAAGAGGTACCTGGGTGTCCCCGGGGCTGGGGGTGACCATGAGGAAGAGGTACCTGGGACTAAGTGGTGGAGGAAGGTGTCCAGTTTGTGCAGATTCAAGAAACAAGATCCAGTCTGAACAGCCACTAGGGCATGACCACCGTCATGTCAAGATGGCAGATGCAGCAGAACTGGCCACTCTGGGGGACCCACTGACAGTGCCCTTGCAGCTCCTCAGTCTCAGGCACCCTAGGGAAGGGAGGATCAGGCCAGCTATTTACTAGTCACCCTGAGAGTTCTCTTGTATTTTATTTATTGTTTATTTAAGAACTTCAAAAATTATGATTATTTATTAGAGAGCAAGCAGGGAGAAGAGTTTTTGGAGGGCAGGGTCTGGTCATGTCAGCACATAGACTGTCAGAGCCACTGTGCTACCAGATTAATCTGTCCCAGGATGCTTTATTACTTCCCCATCACTGCCCTGTCATGGCTCCTCACTGACTCCGGGTGATTTTTGTCAGCTCTACCCATAACTTGTCTTTCCAGAAACTTCAAGGCCCAGGCCCTGTCTTCTATTTCTCACTGACACAGGCTTCCAGTTTCAGCCTGATCATTTTCTCCCTAACCTAATGATATTCTCTAACACTGCCTTTTCCTTACCTGGAGTCTTTTTCCTTATCAGGGACAATTTGCTTCTCTTCTCCTTCCGGATCCCTGCCCTCCCTTCATGGCCCAGCACGGTGTCATCTCCCTTTGCCAGCCTGTCTTCTTCGAACCTTCTTCAGCTCTTGCCAGGACATGTTACTGCTCACTGACCATCTGCTTCGTGCCGTTCGTGCTTTCTCCAAATACGTCCCTCGTGATTTTCCCCTAGACACTGGAGAGTGGTCACAGCTGAGCCCCTGTCTTACTCACCTGTAATGCCTCGCAGACAGTACTTATGAAATACGGGAACACCTCCTCTCTTTCAGTTCAACTTTGGGGACGTCTTTGTCCACCAGGCCATCCACACCATTGAGTACTGCCTGGGCTGCATCTCCAACACGGCCTCATACCTTCGGCTCTGGGCCCTCAGCCTGGCTCATGCACGTGAGTGAGCAGCCCGTCAGGGTCACGGTCACATCTTCTCTGGGTTATTTGTGATATATTTGCTGGAAGAATGGCTCTTCTTGCTTAGGAAGAGGCGACTTTTTGTTTTTTAAGAGAGTTTTGGTATAGGGCCCATGTGCTTGCTGGAGATACAGAGAGACAGAGTGAGAGAAAGTGAGAAATCACCCCCTGGGGGGTTGACCATGTTCCAGTTCCTTCTCCTCCATTCTCCTCTTAGGATTTTGGGCATGCACGCACACGTACCTGGCGTGAGTTTTAAGCCACCATGTCCAGAACTCAAACTACAGTGAACTACGTGGTCATTAACAGGTGACAGGCCCTTAAAAAAAGGAACTATTTATTATTGTTATTCTTTTATTTGACTAGAGAGAGACAGAGAGAAAGGGAGAAAGCAAGCTGCCAGGTCCAAGACTTGAGCCACTGTTGGCCATGTGGGAGTCTAGCGCCTTAACCATTGTGCCATCTGCCAGGCCTGGTGAGAGGCCTTTACCTCACTGGGCCAGGTCATTGTACCTTTTAGTTGGAGGTTTTAAAGTCTCAGCCTGGGGGCCGGCAGGTGGCGTGGTGGTTAAGGGTGCTAGATTCCCACATGGCCAGCCACGGTTCGAGCCCCAGACCTGACAGCTTGCTCTCTCATTCTCCTTCTCTCATTCTGTCCTTCTTTGGTCAAATGAAAATAAACTAACTAAATAAAACTAAATAAAATAATTATTTTTTAAAAAGTCTCAACCTGATGCTGTAATGACAGTTACTCCATGGGCGCTGCCCTTGCCAGCATGTTAGACATCAAAACCAGAGAAGCATCATACGTGCTCGTGCCCAGGCATGCCCACGCCCCGTGTCGTGTTGTTGGGGCAGGAGAGCCCTCCCCGGGCAGTTAGTTAAGGGTAAGGATCAGTTGCGAGTTCAGGTTTTTTCTTTGTACCTTTCCATGACATTCCACCCCTTGGATTTCACGCCTCGGGGGAATTTAGAACCTTCCCTGTCATCCTTGGAGAGACTCCCTGAAGCCGATGAGCAAGAAATGTACACATAGGACCTTCAGATGCGGGAGTGGGAGGGCAGCAACTGGGGATGTTGGGTAGGGAGGTGAGTGAGGGGTGATAGTGGGGTGGAAAGAAGCCAGATGAGGCTGTGTGGTGTTTGTCCTTGGACTCCTCTGGTCGAGTTTTGGTCTTACCTGTAAGGCGCGTATGAAGAAATCTGATTTACAGGGTTAGTGAAGGGATGTATGTAAGGCACTTGCTGTTCTGTTGGGTTTGGCTCTGAATCTGGAAGCCAGCTAAACTCCAGACAGTCTGTAAGTACCTCGAAACGCTATACAAATGCTTTGTGTTTGTGCGTACATTTTTCTGGGGAAAAGGTTCATGGCTTTCTTCACATTTTTTTTTTTTCAGTTTTGCTATATAGCATGTACACTCACCGGAGAGAGGCAGAGAATGAGAGAGAGAGAGAGAGAGTGAGAAATCACCCCCAGGGGGAATAACCATCCCTTCTCCTCCAGCCTTCCCTTAGGATTTTGGGCATGCATGCACATGCACCTGGCGTGTTTTTCATGCCACCAGGTTCAAGGCTCCAAGCACATAGTTGGCCATGTGGGATCTAGTGCCTTAACCTTGCTGCCTGCTGGCCCAGATTTTTTTTTTAACTGTCAAAGGTCACGTATGCTCACCAGAGACAGACAGAGATAGAGAAAGCACCTCCCAATAGCCATGTCACAACCCTGTTGGGATTTGGGGCACACATGCACTCACGCCCAGCACATTTTTCAAGCCTCTGGGACTAGGATCTGAAACACGGTTGGCCATATGGGACCAGTTCCCCCAAGGCCATGGGACCAGATCTTTCTTCAGATTTTACAGAGATCTGTGAACACCAAGGAGCGAAAGAAACCTCTTTCTGGGGCAGGGTTGACTTCTCCGTGTTCTCAGTACCAAGTACACGTCTTGCACGTCATGGTGATGAATACATATTTGCTAAATGGTTTTTGAAATATGATTAGAAGTATAATCTTTATTTAAACATGGTTCAAATTGTGAAATATAGCATATTTTACATTTTTTTTTTTTTCAGTTTTGCTATATAGCATGTACACTCACCGGAGAGAGGCAGAGAATGAGAGAGAGAGAGAGAGAGTGAGAAATCACCCCCAGGGGGAATAACCATCCCTTCTCCTCCAGCCTTCCCTTAGGATTTTGGGCATGCATGCACATGCACCTGGCGTGTTTTTCATGCCACCAGGTTCAAGGCTCCAAGCACATAGTTGGCCATGTGGGATCTAGTGCCTTAACCTTGCTGCCTGCTGGCCCAGATTTTTTTTTTAACTGTCAAAGGTCACGTATGCTCACCAGAGACAGACAGAGATAGAGAAAGCACCTCCCAATAGCCATGTCACAACCCTGTTGGGATTTGGGGCACACATGCACTCACGCCCAGCACATTTTTCAAGCCTCTGGGACTAGGATCTGAAACACGGTTGGCCATATGGGACCAGTTCCCCCAAGGCCATGGGACCAGATCTTTCTTCAGATTTTACAGAGATCTGTGAACACCAAGGAGCGAAAGAAACCTCTTTCTGGGGCAGGGTTGACTTCTCCGTGTTCTCAGTACCAAGTACACGTCTTGCACGTCATGGTGATGAATACATATTTGCTAAATGGTTTTTGAAATATGATTAGAAGTATAATCTTTATTTAAACATGGTTCAAATTGTGAAATATAGCATATTTACCCAAAAATGCATAAAATGTATACTCAGCCAAAAGAACTTTTATATAAACACACACCCACATGCCACGCCTTAGTCAAGAAACAAAAGGATCCAGTCCCTTTTGTGCCCCAACCTCAACCTTCCGCTTCTCCCCTTGAAGTTAACCACACTCCTGGCTTTTGTAAGAACAACTGTCATGCTTTTTAACTTGCTTTTAAACACATTTTTATCCTTAGGCCATTTAGTGTAGTTTTGCATATTTTTAAATGTAAAGGAATGGAATCATGTTTTAGCTCACATCACCACAATAAAATGTCATAGATTGGGCAATTTAGCAATAGACATTTATTTTCTCACTGTTCTGGAGGCTAGAAGTCCCAGGCGAGGGACCAGCATGCTCAGGACTTGGTGACAGCTCTCTTCGACTCACAGAAGGCTGTGTTCTTACTGTGTCCTCACATGGGGGACAGCTTGCTGATGTTTCTCCTTTTGCGTTTTCTTTTTGATACAAATGATGTTACTCAGATTTATTTGTTTAAAAATTTTTTTACATTCGTTTACTTTTTTCTTGAAAGAGAGAGGGGAGGCATCCCCAGCAGGATCTTTACACCAAACCTGCCCCCAGTCTTAGCTGGCTGGCATTGTGTGCACACGCGGATGCTGCCAATGTGGTCAGGGAGGTCCCGGAACGCAACCTCGGGACCTTCCCCATGTGGTTCTAGTTGTGTTACCACTGTGCCACTGCCTGGCCCTTGGATGTATCCATTTTGCTGTGAGTAGCTATGGTTTGCACACTTTTATTGGTGAATAAAATGCCATCATATATCTGTCCCATTTCCCCCATTGCAAGCAAAGCTCCTCTGGACTGTCTTGGGACACATGCGCCTCCCTTCCCCATGTAGAGAGAGACTCCTGACTCAGGGTGGACAGAGTCGGGACTGCAGTAAAGAAGTGACCTGCATTTACAAGATCAGCCCGAGGTTGAGCTACTCTCTTGCGTTGCAGAACTGTCTGAAGTGCTCTGGACCATGGTGATGAACATGGGCCTTTCCCTGCGAGGCTGGGCAGGACTCATTGGGGTGTTCATCATTTTTGCTGTGTTTGCTGTTCTGACAGTAGCCATCCTTCTTATCATGGAGGGTCTCTCTGCTTTCCTGCACGCCCTGAGACTGCACTGGTAAGGATGGTTGTCCCGCGGAAGCTTGGGATGGCAGAGGGAGGGTGGACTACCAGCCGCCTGGGTTCAGTTCCTCATCTGTTGTGTGATGTTAGCAATTTGCATACGTTTTTGGAGCCTGAGTTCAGTCACCTGTTGGTATAACAGTAAATGATAAAATGTAGGTACACATGTACACACAATGGCTGCCCTATGATAGACGTTAGCGCTCACGTACTCCATTTGTTGTTACAATGGCTCTAAAATAAGCTCTGTGTATTGGTAAGAGGACAGATCGAGGCTCCTATCTGGCATGCTGAGAAAATCTGGGATGTTTGGCCCTTGCGGCTGAGTGCAGGAGTTACATCAACAGCACCAGCGACTAAATTATCAGAGGTAGAAGCTGAAGGTGGGGACTGCAAAGAGGGAGGCTCTTCCAGGAAGCCCTTGACATTCACAGATGAATCCAGAGTCAGCTCAATGAGTACAAAATCATTTGTTTAGGCTCTGGGTCTCTTCCAAGTCACATTTCAGCTGAGAATTGTGAGTGGACTATGCATGCCTTGAACCAAAGGATTGTCTTCTGCTTTTATTGTTTGTTTGTTTTTGCCCGAGAGTATTTGCACTTGCCAGAGAGAAAAGGAAAGTAAGAAACTATCCACCATCCCCAACGGGAATGGTCATGCTGCAGTCCTTTCTCCTCCATCTCACCCTCCCTTTGGGATTTTGGGAATGCTCACATCTGAGCATGGCGGGGTTTTTTTTTGTTTTTTTTGTTTGTTTGTTTTTGCCCGAGAGTATTTGCACTTGCCAGAGAGAAAAGGAAAGTAAGAAACTATCCACCATCCCCAACGGGAATGGTCATGCTGCAGTCCTTTCTCCTCCACCTCACCCTCCTTTTGGGATTTTGGGAATGCTCACATATGTGCATGGCGGGGGTTTTTTTTGTTTTTTTTGTTTGTTTGTTTTTGAGAGGTTTTTGCTATAGGGTGTGTGCGCTCACCAGAAAGAGAGAGACAGAGAGACAGAAAGCGAGAAATCACCTCCCGGGGGGATGGCCACGCCACAATCCCTTCTCCTCCATTCTCCTCTCGGGATCTTGGGCATACATGCACATGCGCCCGGTGTGAGTTTAAGTCACCGGGTCTGGGACTCAAACCGCGGTTGGCTACATGGGAGTTCAGCAACATAGCCATTACACCAACTGCTGGCCCCACATGGCAGATGTTTAAAGCTGCTGGATTTGGGACTTGACCCTTGTGGTTCACCACGTGGGATCTGGTTGCCTTAACCACCAAACCATGGGACCAGCCCAGCTGGGTTCACTGTTTCTGCTTCTCCCCTGTGGCACTGAGCCTAAACCAGTCGTCTGCTGAGTGAGGAAAATCACAGTAGCCCATACCTCAGTGACCGCACCATTCACCTCTATGTCACAAAGGGCTGAGCTCAGAGACGTGATAAAGCATCAGTGATGACATGTGCAATCAGTCATATAATTTATAAAAATAGAGGTCAGGGTTCTGCTTGTTCTGCAAGAGTGTAGGCCTTACACCGTGGGATGGAGATGGAAGACCCTGAGCGACCTCGTGCAGAGCTCGCCTGTCCTGCTGGCTCCAGTGCCAGTTAACGGTGCAGTGAGGCGTCTGCTTGGGACGGAGGCTGGGAAGCGTGTGATGCTGTAGTCAAAGAGACCTAGCAGAGGCCCGGAGAGTGAAGTGGGGCGGGACAGGGGGAGGTGGGCAGAGGGAGGGAGAGAAGGGTTTCAAGAATCCTCAGGGTTCTCATGGCACCATCAGCCTAGGGTGCCTTCCCTGGTGGCCTTCCAACCCTGTGCTGGCTGAGAGGTTCTTTTCTCTCCTTCTACCTTACGTGCCTCTAGCTCAGGTGCTTAACCCTCCTTTTCTTACCTAGGGTGGAGTTCCAGAACAAGTTCTATGCTGGAGCTGGTTACAAGTTTTCTCCGTTCTCCTTTAAAAGCATCCTGGAAGGGACATCGGAGGAGTAGGCTGCAAGTCTGCACCCCCGTGCCTGTCTCTGCCAGAAAAGAAGTCCAGTCTCATTTGTGATGTCAGCCCTTGCATGGCATCCGCCGGAATGATTGTTCTTGGCGACCCTGAAGCATGAAGCTATGTAGTACTTGGTTATGAGCCATGGGGTTTGGTATGACCTAACCGCATCGTAGAGGAACGACTTTGACAAGTTATTTTAACTGTCAAATAAACTGTGGGGTCTTAATCACACATGATAAAACGATTGAGAAATGAGGGGAAAGTGCTAGCCAAACTGATGTCTTCTTGCTATTTTAAGTATTATATTGAAGAAAATAAACGTTTAGACCTATCACTTTTTCTTTTCTTATTTTTTTAGTTGCCAGAGGGTGAGCATGCTCACCAGAGAGAGAGAAAGAGAGAGAGAGAGAGAGGCATCCCCCGATGGCATGGTCACACTGCCATCTTTTTCCCTCCGTTTCTCCATCCTGTCAGGATGTGCGCACACAGGCACACACACCTGGTGTGTTTTTCAAACTGCCGGGGTCAGGATTCAAGCTGTAGTCCACCATGGGGGATCCAATTTCTTAACCATTGCACTGCAAGGCCGCCCTTTAAGGTGTCTGTAATTCAAAATCAGTCCACAACGAGTAGTGCTGGCATTACGGACTGCAGCTGAACAGCAGAGTCCCGCCAGCTAATCCCAGAGGAGGAGCGTGTTTATTTCCCTTGCTCATTTCCTCCTCCCTCAAGCATTTTGCCCCTTGTCTCCGGTTTAGCATTACAAGCTTAGGAACTTTCTCATGAGTTTTTGCTCCCGATGAGGAAGGACAGATAATGTTCTCTAATGGGAGGGACGGCCACCCGCTGTGGCTCTCGGCATCACTAAATCCCGTGAAATGAAGCGTGACATGACATCATCCGTGGCTGTTTACTGTCTGCACACTGTGCTGGGGACCTGGAGGAACAGATTCATCAGCCTGGGCAAGTTCTGGAAAAACGGGGTGTCAAGAGGGACTGCCTGAACCCTGGGTCATTACTGTCTGAGTCTGTGGGCCCTGAAGTCATTTCTTAGGGTTCCTGGACTGGATGGCTCCTCAGAGCCAGATCTGACTCACTCCATTGACCTTTTTATCTCGATGGCCTTTTCCAGGTGAATTAGAATCTCCATGGTAACCATCGGGTGGAATGAGGATGCTTAATGTTTTTGCAGTGCTCGACAATTTATGAACTGCTTTCACCCAGTATCTTATTGAGTTCTGAACTGTTGGTGTTGGTAAATAAAGTTCCTAAAGAGCTGATGAAATTCAAACCACCTTTTGAATGGAACTCTAATTTATAGCAACCCACCTGCCCTCTGGGTAGTTGGACTGATTGGTGCTCATGGTAGGGGCATAGCTTGTACTAAAAGGAAGCTTTCGTGTCACCTTCCATGTCAATGTCATGACTTGTCCAGCATAGTTGTTTTTTTTTAAATAAATATTTTTTTAATTTAGCCTAATTTATTATTATTTAATTTGACCAGAGGGAGACAGAGAGTAAGAGTAAGAGAGAGAGAAAGTGAGAAAGCAAGGCACCAGGTCCAGGACTTGAACTGCAGTTGGCCATGTGGGAATCAAGCACCTTACCCACCAGACCACCTGCCGGCCCCATGTCCAGCACAGTATAAGGCACATATGAGATCCTCAACAAATATTTATTTGATGATTAAAATAAGTTGAGCAGAAGAATGACAGTTGGAGTCCTAAGATGCGTATGTTTGAGTTACAACTTAGTGCTTTGTCACATGTGCCCTTGGCTGAGAAACAGAGTTGACCCCTTATGGCCAAATGGGGATGATGGCCTCACCTTTCTGGGTTGTAGAGAGGAGGTTGCAGAGCACTGGGCCAGGAGGAGGTACTGTACCAATGATGACTGGACACAGAATGGACCGAAGCCTCTGGAAATAGTGGTTTGAAGAAGCGGTCCCCAGGAAGCCACAGGCCACGCTGTGCCAGCCACACTCCTAGGGGAAGGGTTCTGGTCTGTCTCCAGGACCTTCCCAAGTGTGCTGAGCACATGGCCAACTGCAGTTCGAGTCCCAGAACTTGCTTTCTCACTTCCTCTTTCTTTCTCTCTCTCTCACTCTGTCCCTCTCTGGTAAATTTAAAATAAAAATAAAGTTAAATTAAAAATTAAAAAGAAGAAGAAGAAGCCGTCCCTCTACCCATGGCATCCTGATCTCTGGATGGTCTTTAGGATCTCGGCTCACTGCTGTCCACTCAACAACTATCAGAAATATACGCTCTGCTGAGCTGGGTCAGCAGCCTCTTGCCCTGTACTTCTGAACGGCAATGGCTGTGAGGACATGTTTGCCAGGGTGGTGCTCTCCCTGCTCCTTGCCAGGCCTACTCGTTCATAGATCCCCGCGGCCTTCCTGAGAGCAAATGCAAACCAGTTTCCCCAGGTGTGGCAGCCACTTCTGTCTCCATGAGAGATGTAATTTCCCCTTTAACAAGGGATCAGGTGCAGGCTTGGTGAGAAGGGGGTGTGACTTGGGTGTCACTCACTTGCCCAGATGCAAAGTTGTTCCTTAAAAAATCTGGAGCTGAGAACTGACTGCCAAGGGGAGATTAAGGCAGGGATCCAGGCTTCTTAGGAGGGCCGGTCCAGAAGTCCCCCGGGAGGCCATCGATGGGACCACTTCTGTGTAAGACTTGGCTGTGGTAAGTGGGAGCAAGAGGACCCCAACCTGGAAAGCTTCCCAAGGAGTACACAGAGGTAAGAAACTCTCGCGGGACAACATGGACCTGGGATTACTTTTCCTGCTGCTGTTGGGGAGGCAGTGGGGTGGGAAGTTAACTACAGGGCATGGCTGCAGGCAAGTGGGACATAAAAGTTTCATTCTTTTTATTGATAATATTGCAAAGCTAATTACGTCACGGACACAAACTCAGTTTAAAATATATCTAGAGTGGCCCCATTATTTCTGGCCAAAAAATTTAGTACAGCAACATGCAATAGAATAAAATCACAACCAGTCTGTTAGAATTTATTTTAATGGGGGCCAGCAAGTGATGTGGTGGTTAAGGGCACTGGACTCCCACATGGCCGACCATGGTTTGAGTCCCGGACCTGGCAGCTTGCTTTCTCATTTTCCCTCTGTCTCTTTCTCTTTCTTACTCTGTCCCTCTCTGGTCAAATTAAAATAAATAAATAAAGTTATTCTTTAAAAGAAAGAGTTTATTGAATGAAGTTTAAACTCCATCTGAACCTTTGAGCTGCAGAGTACTCAGTCTACCAGGTTTTTACCAGGTTTTTAGAAGGCAGGTCATGGATCACTTTCCCATTGTAGTGCTTTGGGAACTGATGGGAAGAGAGGGGAGGCATTCTTCCCCAGGTCATTCCTCACTTTCCTGAGTTGGTCTGACTGATCTTCCATCCACCCTCTTCCTAGGTTGGAAGGCATTTAGCATGACTTAAGGGATCCAAGAACAGAAGCTGTCACTTGGCCTTCCCAGCGTTCCATTTGTGAGTTAAGACCATACACTTTTGTGAAGAATTATTTTATTTAACTTTATTTATTATTATTATCACTATTATTTTTCAGTTTGATCAAAGAGAGAGAGAGAAGAAGTGAGAAAGCAAGCACCAGGTCCGAGACTTGAACCATGGTCGGCCATGTGAGAGTACAGCACCTTTAACCACCATGCCACTTGCCTGCCCCAAGACCATACACTTTATCTGTCAGTGATGTGCCTCATATTTACCTCCAAAATATTTTATTTTCTTTATGAAACTTTTGGCTGAAACTCTAGAAAATAAGAAAATAGTTTCCATGCGTGTTAACTCCCCGAGTTAGTGGTTGAGCATGCTTTAACTATGTGCAGGGTCTCTGTAATGTGCGAATGAGAACACAGAATCTGGTGATCTGCTGACATCCCTCAGCCCCAACGCGCCCCATCGAAGGCGTCCTGCTGCTCAAAGCCCCGTACAACCAAGCGGGCAGGGAGAGGCACCCACTCTGTTGCGTGTACACTTGTACGTTTTTCTTCTATCCCTTGGCAACCTGTGACGTTGTGAAGGCATCTGCTGCAACAATGCTCGTCTGCCTGGCGGGGGAACATTCTGAGTAACCTGTCAATTACATGTTCTCAGCGGTTCATTTTTTTCCCCAAAAGTATTTTCTTTAATATTTTTGTTATAGGGCATGTACGCTACCAGAGAAGAGAGAGACAGAGAGAGGGAAAGTGAGAAATCACCCTTTGGGGGGAATGGCCATGCCGCAATCCCTTCTCTTCTATCCTCCTCCTGGGATCTTGGGCACATTTGCACATGCTCCCAGCATGGTTTTCCTTTTTTAGAGAGATTTTGCTATAGGGTGCATGTACTTGCCAGAGAGACAGAAAGTGAGAAATCACACTCCCCCAAGGGAAATATTCATGCTGCAATGCCTTCTCCTCCATTTTCCTCTGGGATTTTGGGCATGCACGCACATGTGCCTGACGTGAGTTTAAAGCTGGCAGGTCTGGGACTTTAACTGCAGCTGACTATATGGGAGTCCAGCGATGTATCCATTATGCCATCGCTAGTCCTCCCTGTGTGATTTTCAGGCTCGAACTGCGGTTGGCCATATGGGATCCACTGCCTTAAATACGGCACCACCTGCTGGCCCCATAAATATATAACCCCTCAATGGGGTATGGTCACGCCACAATCCTTTTTTTACCATCAAGAATATGCACAGTTTTTTTGGAGGGGTTTTTGCTATACGGTGCATGTGCTCGCCAGAAAGAGAGACAGAAAGCGAGAAATCACCCACCGTGGAAATGGCCATGCCACAATCCCTTCTCCTCTATTCTCCTCTCAGGATCTTGGGCATGCATGCGTACACGCCCGGCGTGAGTTTAAGCCACCAGATCCAAGACTCGAACTGCGGTCAACTACATTAGAGTCCAGTGATATAGCCATTATGCCAACTGCTGGTTCCATGAATATGCACAGTTTTTACAATAAGCATTTTCCATGAGCTTTCTGAAGACTCTACATAGGACTTTCAAATATTTCTTCCCATCGTGTATTTTTAAAATTTTTCTTAATAATGTCTTATGCTTAAAGGGTTTACATTTTTATTAAATCCAATACATCTATTTAATTTTTTTTTAGAGAGATTTTTGCTATAGGGCATGTGTGCTTGCCAGAGAGACAGCAAGAATTCAATCCCCGGGGGATGGCCATGCCACAATCCCATCTCCTGCATTCTCCTCTCAGGATTTTGGGCACACACGCATATGCACCTGGCATGAGTTTCAAGCCTTCAGATCTGGGACTCGAACCATAGCTGGCCAGGTGGGAGTCCAGCGACGTAACCATTATGCTATGTGCTGGTCCCTATTTAATCTTTTATTACCTGTGCTCTGGTGTCATATTAAGAAATATTGTCTTATCCAAGATCATGAATGTTTTCACTTATGTTTTCTTTTAAGAGTTTTCTAATTTTAGCTCTTAAATTTAGATCTTTGGTTTTTGAGTATGGTGTAAGTTGAAGGTTTAACTTCATTCTTTTGTGTCTGGATACACTTCTCCTTACTGCCATTTGTTGTCAAGATCTTCCTTTCCCCATTGAATTTTCTTGTTTTCAGATTTTAAATCAAGTTTATGTTATCTCCCCATCTGGAAATATGTTCAGTCATGGCTAACATTAAATGTATGCTGAATTCCATTTTATAACTGAACAGCTCTTTTTCTGCTACTTTATGTATAAAAAGTTACCAAATAAGGAACATCCCTTAAAAGGTTATTTAAGCAATGTCTGGAAAAGGAGCTGTAGTTTTTTGTTTTGTTTTAATGAATTATTTTATTTAACTTTATTTATTTTATATTTATTTATTTATTCTTTACATTTTGACCAGAGAAGTTCAGAGTAAGAGAGAGAGGGAGGAAAAGTGAGAAAGCAAGCCACCAGGTCTGGGACTCGAACCGTGGTCAGACATGTGGAAGTCCAGTGCCCTTAACCACCATGCCACCTGCTGACCTCAGAAACTGTAGTTTTAGCACTGTCTGTCTTCATGACTTTCAGGCTCCCAGATGGACTGAGAGACCAATTATCTTCACTTTTCATGCTATGAAAAATAACTTTTCATGCTTTTCAATGTCTCCCTTGGGAGAGAGGATTTCATGGGTTATTTCTGAGCTCTATTGATCTCGCTCCAATTTGGGAATATTTGTGTCTTTGTGACAGTGGTTTTTTTTTTTTTTTTTTTTTTTTTTAAAACACATAGGGAACCAGCAGTTAGTGTAATGGCTATGTTGCTGGACTCCCACGTAGTCGACCGCGGTTCGCGTGCCGGACCCAGTGGCTTAAAACTCACGCCGGGCGCATGTACATGCATGCCCAAGATCCCGAGAGGAGAATGGAGGAGAAGGGATTGCGGCGTGACCATCCCCCCTGGGGGGTGATTTCTCGCTTTCTGTCTCTCTGTCTCTCTCTGTCTGTCTGGCGAGCGCACGCACCCTATAGCGAAAATCTCTCAAAAAAAAAGAACACTACAGTGTTGTCTTGTTTTTGTTTTTGTTTTTTTTGTCCTCCCACCCAAGTCTCCTCTTTACCACACCGCTCCTTGGACCTGATCTCCTGTTGTTGCTTTTATGTGTATCTTTTGTGTCCTTGGCTAGATTCAAAACCTGTTAGGTCAACATGTCAGACCCTCCTTCGCAGTCACAGGACCTCATGCGAGACACAGAACTGGCACCTGGCAGCTTGTACTACTGTACAACTGCTGTGTGGCTATTTATTAATTTTTAAAAAGAATTACTTTATTTAAATTTATTATTTATTTATTTACTTATGTATGTATTTTAATTTGACCAGAGAGGGACAGAGAGAGAGGGAGAGTGAGAAAGCAATCTGCCAGGTCCAGGACACGATCCGTGGTTGGCCATGTGAGAGTCCAGCACCCTTAACCACCATGCCACCTGTTGGCCCTGCTTTGTGGGTATTTTTATGTCCTGGGAAGAAGAGACCTTTGTTTAAGTTCTTTTGTTATTATTATTATTATTATTTTATTTAACTTTAGTTATTTTAATTTGACCAGAGAGTACAGAGAGAGAGAGAGAGAGCCTCCAGGTCTAGGACTCAAACCATGGTTGGTCATGTGGGAGTCCAGCACCCTTAACCACCACACCACCTGCCAGCCCTGTTGGCCTTTTATTTTTAATCTTTTTTTTTATTTTCTGGAGAGGTTTTTGCTATAGGGCGCTGTGCTCGCCAGAGAGACAGAGACAGAGAGACAGAGACAGAGAGACAGAAAGCGAGAAATCACCCCCTGGGGGGATGGCCACGCTGCAACCCCTTCTCCTCCATTCTCCTCTCGGGATCTTGGACACGCACACACACACCCCTGGCGTGAGTTTAAGCCTCCGGGTCTGGGACTCAAACCGCGGTTGACTACATGGGAGTCCACGACATAGCCATTATGCCAACTGCTGGTCCCTATTTTTTATATTTTTTCAATTGACTAGAGAGAGACAGAGAGAGAAGGAATGTGAAAAAGCGAGCTGCCAGGTTCTAGACTCAAACCGCAGTCAGTCATGTAAGAGTCCAGCCGCCTTAACCACATCACCTGCTGGCCCTGGCATTGGGATTTTCGATGGGCTCAGGTGTTATCAGCCTAACCCGCAGCTCATTACAGTTCTTCATAAGCCTTTCACCTAATAGTTTGTAAAGCATTGATGATTATTGCCTGGAGCCATTATTTGTTAGGAGTTGTGAAATAGTGATCATTTAATCTACTCCTCTTTCTGCATATATCAGCTGAAATTTTCTTTCATCCAGTGTTTGGTTACCTGATATACAGAGGAATTATACAAGAAAGTCGATTACTAGTTTTCAGAATAATGAGTTTATTTCTTGGAATTTTCTAAAAGTATTTGGTGAGGTCTTTATTTTAGTATTACTATGAACAAGTGGCCTTTTTATTATTATTATTATTATTATTATTATTATTATTATTATTATTATTATAGTGTGCATGTACTCACCATAGAGAGACAAAGAGAAAGGGCAAGAGAGAGGGGAAGTGGGAAATCACTCCTCCAGGGGGGTGGCCATGCCACAATCCCTTCTCTGGCTCCTCCTCTTGGGATTTCAGGCACATGCACACATACCCAGTGTGATTTTCAAGCCACAGTATCTAGGACTCGAATCGCACAGCTGCCGTGATCCAGCACCCTAACCTCCACCATCTGCTGGCCCAAGCAAGTGGATTTTAACACCTCTGACATGCTGCAATTCTTTGCAGTCATTATTCTTTTTTTTTTTTTTAAAGATTTATTCATTCATTCATTTTAATTTGACCAGAGAGAGAGAGAGGAAAGTGAGAAAGCAAGCCACCAGGTCCAGGACTTGAACCATAGTCGGCCATGTAGAAGTGTCTAGCTCCTTAGCCATCATGCCACCTGCTGGTCCCTGCAGTCATTATCCTTTTTTTTTTTTTTTGGAGAGATTTTCGCCATAGGGCGCGTGCGCTCGCCAGACAGAGACATAGAGACAGAAAGCCAGAAATCACCCCCCAGGGGGGATGGTCACGCCACAACCCCTTCTCCTCCATTCTCCTCTCGGGATCTTGGGCACGCACGCACATGCGCCCGGTGTGAGTTTTAAGCCACTGGGTCCGGGACCCGAACCGCGGTCAACTACGTGGGAGTCCAGCCACATAGCCATTACGCCAACTGCTGGTTCCCCAGTCATTATTCTTTTTGATGGCACCAAATACATCCTTAATAATTAGTAATGATAATAATAGCTCCCTGGACCAGCAGATGGTGTAATAGTTACATCATTGTACTCCCATGCGGTTCAAGTCCTGGACCTGACGGCTTAAAAACTCACGCCAGGAGCATGTGCATGCATGCCCAAAATCCTGAGAGGAGAATGGAGGAGAAGGGATTGTGGTACAGCAATTCTCCCTGGGGGGGTCGGGGGTGATTTCTCGCTCTCTGTCTCTCTCTGTCTCTCTGGCGAGTGCACGTGCTCTATAGCAAAAATCTCTCTAAATAATAATAATAATAACTCCCATTTATTAAGCACTTTGCTATATGCCATGTGTGGGTTAAGCTCTTTCAATGAGCTAACTTGTTTAATCCTCACAACCACCTTGGAAATTAGGTGCAATTTTAATATCCCCATTTAGAGATGAGGAGACCAAAATGTACAAAGGCAAATTCCTCAAAGTCACACACCAAAAACGTAGTTTTATTTAAAACACTGAGCCATCTGGTTCCAAAGGCCATGTACGAAGAAGGGTAAAAATATTAATAGTTATCTCAATATTTTTTCTTTTTAAAATAATTATTTCATTTTACTTATTATTATTATTTTTAAAATTTTGCTATAGGGGACATGCACTCACCAAAGAGAGAGAGAGAGACGGAAAGTGAGAAAGTAAGCTACCAGGTCTGAGATTTGAACTGCAGTCTGCCATGCGGGAGTCCAACACCTTAGACACCACGCCACCTAACAGCCCCTCAAAAGATTTTTGAGAGGGTTTAGTGAATTTTATTGAAGTGTGCCAGCATGCAGGAGGCATTCAACAACCATTGTGGTTCTTCCCTTCCTCCCTTCTTCCATCAGGGAAGCTGCGAGGGTTTTGAACCTTTTGGAAGATGGCAACCAAGCACGCTGAACCTGTCACCATTCTTAGCCTCCGGAAATTGAGCCTGGGATCCCCAGAGCCTCAGCCAAAAGGTGAGATTTTCATAGATGTCTCTAGCTCTCCAGCTGATAAAAGAGCATTAACTCTTTTATCATTGGACTTAGTTTCCCAAAACCCTCTAAAGATGAGCGACCCGTCCACATGCATTCCCCACCCGCCCCACGCGAGGCTGTCCCTTGCGCTTTGCCTTTCCTCATAGAGCAAAAGACGTTCACCGTGGAAGATGCCGTGGAGACCATCGGATTTGGACGGTTCCACATTGCCCTGTTTCTGATCATGGGGAGCACGGGGGTGAGTGGCCTTGGATATTATTCAAGTCCCCAAAGCGAACCTTGTTGGATACACAGAATCTTCCACTGACCTAGAGTGGAAGGTGTGATGGGAGGGATATGAAAGGGAGCAGGGACCCCCTGAGGTGGGTAACTCAAAGCATCACTTTCATAGACATTTGGCAGGTGTTCAATCGTGAGCAAATGAATATCCATGTCTCCATGTTCTAGGAATTCAATACTCATTTTAAAGATTGATCTAAACTGAAGTATTAGGAAGAAGGGAAGGACCAGCAGTTGGCGTAATGGCTATGTCACTGGACTCCCATGTAGTTGACCGCAGTTTGAGTCCTGTACCCGGTGGCTTAAACTCACGATGGGCACATGTGCATGCGTGTTGAAGATCCTGAGAGAACAGAGGAGAAGGGATTGTGGCATGGCCATCCCCCTGGGGGGATGATTTCTTGCTTTCTGTCTGTCTCTCTGTCTCTCTCTGTCTTTCTGGCGAGCGCATGCGCCCTATAGCAAAAACCTCTCCAAAAAAAGAAAAGAAGGGAAAAGAACTATAGCATGTAAAGCTGTCTAAAATTAGATGCATGGTTTTCAAACATTTTGTTCATCAGAATCATCTGATGGGATACCTGTTATAATTACAGATTTCTGGATCACTGAGGAAGGCCTGTTACTCGCTGCTATGGTTTGAATGTGTCGTGCTTAAAATTCAGGGGTTGCCAGTTTGACAATTTGATAGTGTTAGGAGGTGGGCCCTTTAAGAGGTGAGTAGGCCCTGAGGGCTCCTCCCTCACTCTTGAAGTGAAGCCCTTACAAAGTGGCACCCTTGCTCTTTCACCTTGCCTCTCTCCAGAGGCGACAGCCCTCAATGGACACTCTAACCTGCTAGCATGTTTGTCCTGGACTTGGCAGCCACCAGAACTGGCAGAACATACAGTTTTATCTTTTATTTTATTTTTTTCTTTAAATTTGTTTATTTTTTACATTAATTCACTATACATCATTACAGCATACAAATAAATTTTCCATCCAAAATACACTGTATATTGGCTCAATCAAGCTCATCAACATACATGTTATCAGCAAATAATTTTCCATTTCTTATGTCTTGTAAACTTGCTATTGAAAGTAGATAACTTATGATATTGTGTGATCAACAACATGTTGGGGGAAAAGGAATTGAAGACAACTGTATATAGCAGAGACAGTGTAACAAGAGAGTGGGAAAGGACAGAGGGTCAAACATGGGGTAAAAAACATATATATACATATGCATATATATGAGAGTAGAAATGGAATATTATTGATGATAACATGCATGATTAAGCCACTAT